GACGATTCCATGCTCAACGCGAAGAAAAGAGAATTCTGTCTCCCGGGCCTCGCCGGAGTGTCCCCGGCCGGTCACCGGACCGCCGCCGGCCGGCCGCCATGCACGGTGGCCGGAAAAGCTAAACCGCCCAGAAAATTGCAAGGTCACCACCACCTGACTCCAATTTTCGCGAGGAGTCCAAATCTACCATCGGTTTGATGAGGCAGTGGCTCGTTTGGCCGGATCGACCTCCACAGCCACCTTCAAGCCGCCATCCATGGTGGGTTGTCAAAACTCAAGCAAGATCACAAATCAATGGAGGGGAATTGTTCACGTGGAGGAGAGGAGTCGATCGAGACCTTAAGTTCACCTTGAGCCCGTCGGAAATGGCGAGAAGTCGCCGGAGGTCAAAGGGTATGACTGTCGGAGGAGATGGTCTCGATTCGCGCCGCTGGAGGTCCAATCGGAGCGAGGGGAGGTTGGAAATGTGACCAGCATCGCCAGAAGAACCGCAGGAAAAGATGATCCGCAGTGGCCAGGTGAGTCGACCACCACCTCGTTCTCGGCTGAACGTGGCCGAAAACCGAGACGGGAGAGGAGGGGGAGAGATGAGAGGCGTCGCAGCCGCAGAGGGAGGAGGGAAAAGGAGAGGAGAGAAAAGAAAGGAAAAAAGAAAAGGAAGGAAGGAAGTGGGCTTGTGGCCATTCCACGGTTCGTTCGATACCGGTTCGGTCCGATTAGTAAGATCTGGTCTCATTTGTTCGGTTTTTTCGAGTTTTCCCGTATTATTACGTTGTGGTTTTCATAAAAATCAGAAGTTAAATTTCCAGGTCCGGTTTGAATTTATTTTAATTATTTTTATTATGTTTTGCCAACCAGTTTCCCTCACCTCTACTTTAATAATACAAGTAATTAATAGTTAATGATTCTTAAATATAGAATAATTAATTCATATATATATATAAATATACTAGTAATAGATTAATCCTGGTGGTTTCGACGTTATTTCTCGCAAAATTTTTTAACTGTCATCAAATCGAAAATCCCGAATGAAACATGTTTTTGGGGCTTAGGCCCATTCGAAAATTTGGGCTCGAAAATTGGGACTATGTTTAAATTGGGACTATGTTACAATTGCAACCCACGCGGCCAAAATTTGCGATTTTTGATTTAATAAAAATTTAAAAGTTTTGAAAATAAAAATTCAGGGTGTTTCATTTATACAATTTTATGTCACAAATATTATATTCATGCATTAAAAATTTATGTTCATGGTTAGATGTTAAAAAAATATTCCTTTTCCTTGATTTAGGAGGAGAATCTTCTAAATCTTCTAAATCTTCTAAATATATATATATATATATATATATATATAATGTGTATTAGGTGTTATATGTGCATCAAATCCATGTTTTTTTATATATATATATATATATATATTAATGTGTATTAGGTGTTATATGTGCATCAAATCCATGTTTTTATGCCTAAGATGTCATATTCATGCATTATGATGAATTTTATGCTATAAATATTCATCTTAATATAAGGTCAGTAGCTATAGTTGTTGTCCCTCTAAAATAAATGCCTTAAAATTATGTTCTAATGTTATATTTCTTGAATATAAGTGTTAAAGATATTATGTATTTAGTTTGTTATGATTTAAGCTATTTTCTAGCCTTGACCGAACTTCCTTGAGTATATTTTTATGTTTTTGTGTTTTGAGTGTTAAAATAAATGTTTAATCTTGTTTATGTGATGTATAATGATGATTTATGCAAGATTGATATGGTTTAATATTTATTTTGTGTAAACTTGTGAGTCCCCTTCCAAGCACCATAGGAAAGATCCGAAGGACGAAGTCTAACCAAACAGGTCCATTGGTTGGTTTCTCACAAAATATCGGGAATTCCTTATGGTTTCTTTTGTTTGTTATGGCTTGATTTAGCACTTAATTGATCAGATTGGCACTTTAGAGTACTTTGACGGTGTGTGATGTGCTTAGAGTCGCACTTTAATTTGTTTTTGTTTTTCGGAAAATATAAGGTAAAAATCTCGTGATTGGCTCCATTTTATTTTTACGATAAAAGCATTAGCCTCGAATCATTGGGTTTAAAAACTGGGTTTTCGACGTCTTTCATATGAATCAACGGTTTGGGAATTAATCAAGTAATCAAAATATTAGTTTGCGTGAATGACATAATATGATGCTTGAGCATACTTATAATGTAATAATAATAATAATAATAATAAGAAGAAGAAGAAGAAGAAGAAGAAGAAGAAGAATGAAAAATTATAAACGTGTCCTCGTATTATGCCAAAATTAACTATTTTAATAATAATAATAATAATAAGGGAAAACTACTTTGTCCCTGTATATTGATTTCGTCCAACTATTTTATTCTTTTATCAATATTTTTTATTTTTTGCTGTTAAATTTAAAAGAAAAGACTGAAATACTCATGTCTTCTTTCACCTTCTTGTTTGTTCTCTCTCCTCTTCTCTCTCTGTCACCGAACGACCTTGAGATTCTGGATATAATGGTGGCAGAATTGGCAACTGCCGATGGGATTTTATTTGAGTTTCCGACGAGATATGGGTTCTATGGCTGCGCAAATGAAGTCGTTTTTTTGACTCAACTGGACAGTTGTAGCAAGAGCAAAAATGAGTTGAAGTTAGTTATAATGGTGACGAGAAAGTTGAAGTTGTTAGGTTAAAGAGAAGCGAGTTAGATCGGGGGCGGAGCTAGGACAATTATTTTAGGGAGCCAAATGAATTTTTTTTTTTTAAATTTTTAATGGGCCAAATGTAACTTTTCTATATTTTAAAGGTTTAAAATATCATTTTCATAGAAAAATTTTTTTGAAAAAAATTTTTTTGGGAGGGGGCATGGCCATAGGCATGGCCACCGGTTCGGTTCTAATCAAAATCGAATCGGAATCGAACCGTACTGTATACAAATCGGACTGGACTGAAATCGACTGTTTAAAATTTTGAACTGGAACCGACGGTTCAAGGGCCGATTAAAGTTCATGTGAATGTTAAAAAATGAATCTGAACCAGTCCGGAATCGACGGTTAATTGGCGATTCTGGTCCGGTTCGAACCGGATGCACAAACAAAATTATTTGTAGCTTAAAATTTTTATAAAAAAAATTTATATCACTTGATTTGATTGTAGTTGATTATAAAAAAAAATTTATATCACTTGATTGATTGTAGTTGATTTGATTATGGTTGAACAGGAAGTACATAATGGTAACATTAATTTATAAAGTTAGTGAAAAAAAGTACATATGATTTTTGATTTTAATTTGTACAAAAAATGGTACATGAATAAGTTGATTTGTAAAAAAAAAAAAATTTTTATGTCACAAAAAAAAGGTACAAAACGGCTATGAGAACTTGAAATGGACTTTTAATTTTTTTATTTTTGGGACTTTTAATTTTTTTATTTTTGGTAAATAAATTTTATTCATTTTTAATCAATTATTTATTTATTATAATTTACTAAATTATTCAAAAATATAATTGTTATTTTTCTGTTGTAAGGGACAATTTGAAAAACTAAAAAATGAAAAATATGTATAAATATGATGAGTTGATGATTTTTTTTCACAACTAATTATATCCTAACTCTCTTTTCATTCTCAATCAAAATTCTCCCAAATTTACATGTTCATTATTTTTTCTATTGCTTTATTTTTCTTAATATTTGAATTATCTTTTGTTTATTTTTTATTTTCATACATCCAATTCTAAATTCCTTCTAATCTCAATTTTTTCATTCACAAATTTACTTCATTGCGAACTCAATCGATGACGATGATTCCGGCTCATTAACGAGGACTAGTGGCACCGATGACTAAAATTAATTGTAATAATTGGGAGGTTATTTTTCATTGTAATAAAAAAAAAGAACTACGTAGGCTTTGATTTCCTCTAATTTCCAAGAGGATAAGTAGGCAATTAAATTAAAAATTTTCAATTTTAATTTAATTTAAGCCCAAAATAAAAAAATATAATTTTTTTATATTAGTGAGTCAGCAAAATTTATAAATTTAATGTAATAACAGTTCTAAGGTAATAGAAGTTCTTCTTTTAAAATTTTATAATAATTTATTTAGTTAATAAAATCTAAAAATTTTAAAATTATTATTTATTTATGAGTTTGGAATCAAAATTTTATTATTTTTTTAAAAATTGTGTAATACTGGAACCGCATCGGAACCGTAATTTGAACTGTCGGTTCATCGGAACCGTACCGGAACTGGAATCCGATCGAAACCGGAATCCGATCGAAACCGGAGGTTTAAGGGTCGATTCCGGTTTAAAATTTTAAACCCGATCGAAACCGGAGGTTTAAGGGTCGATTCCGGTTTAAAATTTTAAACATCTCGAACTGACAATTCAATGAACCGAAACCAGTAGTTCATTGAATTGTTCATGCCTACATGGCTCCTTAAGCCCTAAGGGAGCTCGGCCCCTAAGTTAGATGGACAAGTCACTTCTTTTTTTAATAAAGTGTAATCAATTCTAAGCATTTTTTTTTCCTATTTTTGAATAAGGTGTAATCAATTCTTTTATAGATTAATGAAGATTCTAGATGGACAGGTCTAGGGACTGTGTTTTGTAATAATATGAATCTTCCGTTTATGTTTCTATCAATTGTCTATCAATTGCCACTTCAATATGATCGCCATTTCACTTGCCAAATGAGTTAGTTATTATACACTTGATATTTAAAATTTAAGTTTAAAAAAACTTTGCTGCTGAATTTGGATTTTTGATAGGCTGGTGATGGCTCAAGTGATATATATAATAGAAACCGCAAATTTAATAGGGAGATAAGGATATTTGTGCCTTTTTACTTTTAATGGAAAAAATTAAAAATATTGATAGAAGGATAGAATATTTGAGCATTATTAAAATATAAAGATAAAGTAATATATTTTAAAAAATATGAGACATAATAGTTTTTAACATAATAAAAGACACGTTGATACTTTTTCCCAATAATAATAGTAACAACCGCTTCTCTACCTGTTGCTTTCCTTCACTAGTTAGTAGTTTGCAGAATTACCGTAGAAAACTCCTTCAGATACAAAAGGAAAACCAAGGCTGCTGAAAACCCCCTTCGTGAAATCAGCCATGGCCGCTCTACAGTATCTGGAGTCTCTACGCAATGCTCATCCTGATCAAGCTGAGTGGTGCAATTCCCTTGCGGATCTGTACCAGAAGAAACTCTGGCACCAGCTCACTCTCAAGCTCGAGGAGTTCGTTGCACAGGCCGTCTTCAAGGTCCAGCTCCACTCTCAACATTATGTTCCTTTTTTTTCTTTTTGTGAGTTTAATTTGATTAACGTTAGATTTTTTTCTTTTCTAAAGATATATGGATTGCAGATGATTTTCTTTCTTCCTTTTCTGGGATTTTAGTCGAGAAGAGTTTTGGAATTTAGGGTTTCTTTGAAATTAAACGAGAATTTAGTTCTTGTGAGATAATTGATGTCTTTAGTTGTGCAATAAAGATTTTTAAATGAGGTTGCTAGGGTTGAAATTGGCAAATTAGGGTTTTTAGATGTATTTTCGGTTTCTGGGTATTTGTACGGTTCTCTAGCTCTTGCTTTCTGATGCGAGAAATTTTATATTCAACATTTAGTTCTATTAACTTTTTGTAATAGGTGCAGCTTGTAGCAATTTTGGTGCTTTGCTTACCCGCAGAATGAATAAATGAGATATGTTTATTAGTTAAAGAACGAACATGCAGATCTTTTTTATCCATTTACTGAGGCCATCATGTGCAATTTCCAGCCTTAACACTTTTATTATATATTTGTATTTATATTTCAGGCTGGTGATGCTTTGATACAGTTATATCACAATTTTATCTGTGATTTTGAGACCAAAATTAATCTTCTCAAGCTTGCACATTTCGCGGTTATAGTTTCTCGGCAGTATAAAGAGAAAGAAGCTGCCATTAGCTATCTTGATGGGGTGATTGAAAAACTTCAAGCAACAAGAGAACAACGCAATGAAGAGCCAATTCTTTACATTAAGATGCAATTAGCTATATTCAAGCTTGAACAAGGGGATAAAAAAGAGTGCAAAAAGCTTTTAGAAGATGGAAAGAGCACACTAGACAGTATGACTGATATTGATCCATCTGTTTATGCCATGTATTATTGGGTTTCATCTCAGTACCATAAGTATCGCCAAGAATTCGCAGAGTTCTATAAAAGTGCTCTTCTTTATCTAGCATACACATCAGTGGAATCCCTTTCAGAATCATTCAGACTGGTACTTATTTGAGTCTGTATTACAAAGACTAAGATTTCTATTATATTTCTCTGTCTGCTTCTTTTGCCCCAGTTTTTTCTTTCCTTGTTGACTTTTTCAATCTCATGCAACTTGCAAAGATTTATTCACTTGCCACTATTTCTTGTCTCCCTCTCTTTTTCTGAACATTATTTTGTTTCTATTATCATATCCCTGTCGAGTGGAGTCTATGAAATATGATATTCCTTGTTCAGAATAAATGCATGACCTTTGCATGAAAAAGGGAGTAATGGTTTAGCTGGAATGAAACAGATTTCATGGACTAAACTGTTGCTTTAGTCTTGCAATCCAGATGTAAGGTTGATATATATATAAGCAGTCCAAGGTTATTATGTCTCTTCCTTCTGGTTTATGCTAGTTTTAGTAAGTTCTTGGAATTGTTATAAATTGGGGAGGAAGAGAAGGGGGGGGGGGGGGGGGGGAGGAAGAGAAGGGGGGGGGGCGAGCGGTGGAGGTGGAGGGGCAGTTGTTGCAAATCTTAGTAGGCCTTCTCAATGCAAATATTTTAGCACAGATGTATCCAACCTTGAAAAACGTTGTGGTTAACCAAATGCAAGGGGGGAGGGTGGAGGGTGGAGGGGCAGTTGTTGCAAATCTTTAGTAGCCTCTCAAATGCAAATATTTTAGCACAGATGTATCCAACCTTGAAACTGTTGTTGGTTACAAATGCAAGGAGGTGAGATTGAACATTGTCCATGCTTGATAAACTAGGTTTAAATATTGAAATTAATGCATATGGTGGGCAATGTATTTCGAAGTTTCATTATGTATCTGTTTCAAAGTTCATGCTTGTGGGATCTAGACTAGAATTTAATTTATTAATGATCTGGGCTCTGAGGGGTTGCTATGAGTTTGCATTTGTGAAAATGAGAATGCTAGGATTACCTCTTCCATGGTTAAAATGACTTAAATTTCTTTCTTTGTGTACATCTTGAGATTTTTCTATTGGTTGTTATGTTCACAGTTTGAATGTTTACTTGCGTGTCTTTAGGATTTGGCATTTGATCTTTCCCTTTCTGCGCTTTTGGGAGATAACATCTACAACTTCGGAGAACTGCTTGCTCATCCTATTGTAAGAATATCTTCTTAGTTGCTTTTTCCACAATATCTGTTAATTTTGGGAGGGTTTGATATGCATGTATTTAGTGCTTATATCATTTAATTCTTTTTATTGCCTATCGACAGTGCATAATTTTAGGAAAAAATTGATTCTAGAGTCACCATTTGTTCTTCTCTTTTTGTTACTTGTGGTGAGGGGTCAAAATTGAAGCTATACTATTATAATGATGAAGTTCAAAATAAGCACTGCTAGATTTTAATTGAGTTTCCTGAACCTAAACTTTGCTGTATTTGAAACAGAATTAATCAAAGCCAAATTGTTGTTAGATTGAGGGACCTGGATAATTTTGTCAGTTTGGTTTGCTTGCTGTCTTTATTATGCTTATGAAAAAGATGTCGTTTAAAAATTTTTAACAAATGAAACAATAAATGTATTATTTCAAAAAATATATGATTATACTTCTAAAAATATGTGATTATTCTTGTCCTCTTTATACTAGTTAGTAAAAATCCTAATTCTGGATTGAAAACTATTCTTAATTAATTAACATACTTTATTAATTAGGAATCCTAAATAAAGAAAGAAAACTGAAAGACTAAAATACTAAAAACTGATATTCTAGTTTAATTTGGTTGCTTCTGCACTGATAGGTTCTATGACCTTGAGGGCAGAAAGAATACTTCTCCAAAATGAAGCTTGCAGCATTACTTGAGATGCTTCCTTACCCTGTGTTTCTTTTGCAAAATCTAGATTTAGTCCACTCTTTTGAAGTGAATCTCTTCCTTAAATTAGTCTTTTGCTTGTCAAATGTTGGGAGAGTGAGAAAAGTTGTGGAAAATCTTGTTTGCCCTAGTCTTAACTCTTTTCTTTGTGAATGTTCTCATCATATTCAGCACATGTTGTGAAGAGCTGTATGAGCAGTCATTGATTGCACATGCTTTTTGAAATCTGTTCTTGAATATAGAATTTGAAATCTCCTCAATGTTAAGTCCAAGCAATGCGCACCACATGGAGCTGAAAACAAATTCTTTTCGCTTAGCCATTATGAAGTCACCAACAAGATTAATTTAAAAATGGAAAACCCACCCATTAACTTCGCTAAAAGGTTATAAGTTAAAGAAAAAAATAGTAGACATGCCAGCTGAATCATTAGCTGAAGCATTATTAGTCACAACTTGAACCACATTTGCTTCTCCTATTTCTTCCACAAATCAATCAAGTAATTGAAAAGGCTTCGTCGCATTTTTATCATAAGAAGTATCAATGGATTCTTAACATGGTTCCCTTTGGACAATTTACCAAAAAGTTAAGCAAAGACCTCTCTCTCTCTTATCCTTCCAACCGTCGCACATAGTTCCATACTTCGCCCAATTCTCTTTATGATTCTTCATAATCTCATTTGTGTGCCAATTCCTTCTCAAGACAGGGAACTCTCTCCTTATGTTAACTTCAAGGTTTCATAGTTTGACTGATTCGCCAATAGCCTCAATTATTGACTTAAAACTAGGATGATGACTGCTTAAAAGGATATACCAGCTTCATACATCCATCTGGAAAACCAAGTTATTGATTGATAAATATTTTTGCTTGTGCTTGTTCCGGTAAATTGACATGCTGCATGCATATGAGCTCTTCTAAATTCCCCGCTAGTTTCCCGGTGAAAGATGCATTTGGTTTTGCTAGGAGTGGCTTGAAATGTGGTTCAAATGGTGTGGTATTCATAATATATTTATTTGTTATTTTTTTTCTGGCATGTTTGTTTATTTAATTACTTCTTGAATTATTTGTTTGGGATGATGACCATCTGATCTTTCTACAGATAAAGAGTCTTCTGGGAACACAAGTTGAGTGGCTATACTATATTCTACAGGCCTTCAACTCTGGTGATCTAGTCCGATACCAGGAGTTGTGCCGTGTGCATTATGCATCCCTGAGGGCCCAACCAGCTTTAGTTGAAAATGAACAGAAGCTATTGGAAAAGATTAACATTCTTTGCTTGATGGAGATCATCTTTAGGTATTGTTCCTACTTCCAATCATCTTTTTAGCAGTATCTTTTTACTTTTAATTTCCATCTTCTTCGTTTAGAAAATTCAGTATTACCTACATATATTTTGTACACTGAAATATGTCATTCTTCCTTGCAGTCGTCCTTCTGAAGATCGAACTATTCCATTAAGTGTCATTGCTGACCGCACAAAGCTTTCTGTTGAGGATGTGGAGCATCTTCTCATGAAGAGTCTTTCTGTAAGCTCCTTTTTTGGATATTAAGAGTTATTACTCATTTTTGTGCTTGGGGTGTTATTTTCCAATGGGAAGGAAAAGAAAACAGTAAAATAATAATAAAAATAAGAATTCTCTTATCCCATCATAATTATATCATCTCATAATTATCTGACAGTTTGTCTGTAGTGTGACTACTTGAAGAAACTGTTAAATTAAACAAAATTTTAAAAACTATGATCAGTCAAATATTGCAAAGCTTGATTACTACTATTTTTCAGAATCATGCTGACCTCCTAGTCAAGTATTTGGATGCGGTTAATGAGAAATCTTATTGTTATCTCATGGACACATGCATCCTAGATATGACAAAAATAGATAGCATAAATACAAAGTGCCATTTGTATCAGACTTGAATTGCCTTCCAATAAGTTGACGTTAGTTGGATCTTTTATGTCCAGATCTCAAGTTAAATTTTTTATTGAACTCTGTAACTGGTACAATGATATGATAAAGTGAAATGGGGAAGATAATTATTTGGTTGTTAGTCATTCATTTTCTAGAAATTCTTGTAACCCTGGTCTGATCTCTAAGGTGTATATTAGCTCTGAAACATTTAGGACATAGCCACAAAATAATGAAGCAAGCATGTCCGATACAAGTTAAGCACATGATGCAAATGCAATTGCCTGGAGTGGAGGAGCCTAAATATGATAACATAAATTTGAAAGTAAGATATTGATCTATTTCTTCATAATTAATCAGGGGAATTGCATTATTGTAAGCAGCAGTTGGTTTAAACAGGGTCAACAAGCATTTATTAGAGAGAGACCTCATTGCCAAGCAAAAATATTCTGGCTGCACTTTGCCACTAGCTAGTGTCAACAAGTATCAGGAACACCAGCAGAGAAGTGCTGTAGTACAAATCTGTGGAAAAATAGTTAACGTGAAAGAGCCTTTTGTTTAAATGGGAATTATTTCTAATATTGACAAAATTGAATAATGCAATTTCCTTCCATATACGATTTTATCTTCAATCTCTTCTTTCCTCTTTTTTTCTTTTTTTGTGTATGAAATACCTTTGGTTTTCTTATAATTAATTACGATGTAGGACTTACCATTGGATTAGCTTAAACTTGGTCAATTTATTATATATGTTAATTTTTTGTGGCTAGAATAGTTGCATTTTTGATAGTGTAAAGAGCTGTTTTGTTACAGGTCCATCTTATTGAGGGTATAATTGATCAAGTTGAGGGAACGGTTCATGTATCCTGGGTGCAGCCGAGAGTGCTGGGCATTCCACAAATCAAATCCTTGCGCGACCGACTGGATAATTGGCTGGATAAAGTACACACTGCTTTGTTATCCATTGAAGCTGAAACACCTGATCTAGTTGCATTGTGATTTTCTATCACTTTGCTCTTTTGCCGTGTTCTATATTCCTCTCTGCTCATTGTAAGAATTTCTCATTCGAAGGGGAAAAACTCGTTGGCAGCAAAACAGAGACTAGTGTAAGTCGCTTTGGCAGTTCAGCCAGTTTTGCTTGCTTTCTTTTCATATTGCAAAATCCTTTTTTCTGGACCAAATTTGCTGTAAGGAGCAGCTGTGTACTTGACATTAAACATGTTGGTTCTGAGAGTGTAAGGCTAGGGATACAGTGCATTGATTGGAAAAAACGTTCAGCTTGGTGTAGTGAACTAATTTGTATTGAGACTTTCTTCTTATTCATTCGGATGATTTCCACCGTGTGGAACTAACTGCATTTTATTTTTCAGTCATTCTTATGGTTCTTTGATGCTTCTTGCATGTAGGTGCAGGTGCAGGTGCAGGTGCTTGTTGTCATGACTTGAAATAGATAAAGTAAAATTTGCTTAGTTGTCCCTCAGTTAAAAAAAAAAAAAAAACCTACTTTAGAAAATACTATAAAATATTAGCAAATTAGATCTATTATTTTGTAAACAGCTTTTTTACGGAAAAAAAACATTTGAAACTGTTACAAAATATTGGTAATATGACTTTGTTATTTTGTAAATAGTTATTATTTTACAAGAATAATAACCTTTTATAAAAATTTTGAAAATATTATAAAACTAGTCACTGGTCCGCTCTTCGCGTAAGGTTAAAAAATAATTGTTATACAAACATATATATTAAATAATTATTATAGAACTATTTATATTTTTTTTATGAGAAAGTGTGCTTTAACAGTAATTTGAATTAGGATTATTTTATGCTTAAATGTTTACACTTAAGTTTATAGATTTTTTTTTTCTAAAATCATTTAAGTCTAAAACTATTCATATTTTACATTTACGCTAAATAATAAATCTCATGTATTTAGGCTTCAATCTTGATTATATCTAGGATGAAATGTTAATATGATAAGATTATTATATATATATATATATATATACCTATTATTTTTAAATAATTAAGATTAAATTGCTAAATATGATTTTTGTAATATTTAAATAATAAATTTTAATTTTAAATGATAGTTTTTTTTTTTTTTTTTAAATTGGCTAAAATATGATTTTTCAATATTTTAAATAATAAATTTTTAATTTTAAATGATAGTTTTTTTCTTCTTTTTGAAAATCTCTAAAAAAAATATATTTACTCCAAAAATAATTAAAATCATTGCAACCTATATCCATTGGAGTTTTTTTTAGGATCTAGCATACATTGTTATATTAGAAACACCATTTAAATTATTCTATAGGGGCTAAAAAAAAATGCCAAATAACAAAAACCAATGAAAAGTACTTTCTTTTTCTTGTTTTTTTTTTTTTTTTGAAATCTCTAAAAAAAATCTATTTACTCCCAAAAATAATTAAAATCATTGCAACCTATATCCATTGGAGTTTTTTTTTAGAATCTAGCATAGCATCTTATATTAGAAACCATTAAATATTCATAGGGCTAAAAATAAAATGCCAAATAACAAAACCATGAAAAGCTACTTTCTTTTTCTTTTTTCTTTTACTAATGAAAATACCATTTTATCAAAATTATGAAATATATATATATATAATTTTAAAGAAGTAATTATCTATAAGAAAATTTTAAAAAAAAATTTAAAGTAGCAATATCAAAATGTAATTATCTTAATATGTTAATTAAATAAGATAAAATAATTTAAAATTTTCAAACTCATAATAATTTATATATCAATTAAAGTAATTATAAATAAATTTTAAAAATATATATTTAACACCCATTCAAATTGTAGAAAAATAAAACTAAATTTTAAAAATTCTACAAATAGAAGAATAGAAAGATAAAGGAAAGAACATCTAGAATTTTCTTTTTGTTTATAGTTTATTATTAAATATTTTATAATTAAGTGTATTAAAAATCTCAAAAAATATAATTGATTATTTGAAATTTTAAAAAATGATATACAATAAAAGAAGTCTTGAAATTATTTATTCAACATTTTTATTTCTGTATTATCTCATTAATTTAATTAATAATTCATTTTTTATGATTTAAAATTATTAACATAATTAATATACGATAAATAAATAAAAATATCAATTAAACTATTAAACATTTTAATAATATTATTTGTTAACTTTTAAACAAGAACCCAAATTAAATTGATTTATTTGCACAACAATTTTAATTTAAATGAGTTCCAATAACTATAACATTAAAAAAGCTTATTCAAGTTTTATCTTTTTGTTGAAAAATTGCGGTCTTGAAAATTTTGAATCGTGAAATAGAATTTTCCCTTGAAATTTTTTTTTTAGATTATTTTTAACTCACACATAAGCACGTTTTGACACTATTTTTTTTATGAAACTGAGAGCAATATAATCTTGTGAGGTAGGTGAAATTAGCATCGGTTTTAGGAGAAGTAATAATTCTCTGTGTTGTGTTCTTGGTTAGCTCAGAATGCATGTGCAATGGCCGTGTTTTGAAGTTGCTAATAAGCTGCTTGATGTATTATTAGAATTTAAAGCAAGTACATTAACAGTTAAAAAAAAAAAAAAGCAGATAAAAATATATACTATAAATTCATATTTGATGCACTGGTCGACTATTGCTTTGAAAAGAAAAAAAAAAAAAAATCTATTGACACTTAATTGAAAATTAATAACAGTGAAAGTACAAATTATTATTAATAAAAAAAATAAGAATAAAAATAAAATACGCATTTTATGAGTTAAACGTGTTCTCCGTAGAGTATTGCACGAACAACGCTTTGATTGCAAATTCACATCTTTAAATATATATATATAGAGAAGTAGATATATCTCCATAGATAGATAGATATAAATAAGTTATATTTTGAATTTAAAAATTCAGCTAATTGTGGCTAGATTTTAATTAGATAATTATTAAAATATTAATTAGAATATTTGAATTGTCCAATCAAAATATATATAAAAAATAAAAATTTTTAAAAAAAGAAAAAGAAAAATAGAATGCTACACAAAGAAAAAGTCTATAACTTTATTTTTGTCTCAGCTTTCATACAAATATATAGATATAGGTAAATCTGAGCTATTATTTTGTAATTTGATAACTTATAAAATGTTGGTAACTTTTACAACAAATTGCCACATGTTACAAAATATTTAAAAATATTACAAATATTGACAATTGGGAGCTATTACTTTGTAAAGAAAAAACCACTTTTTACAAAATATTATAACATATTGGCAATGGAAACTATTATTTTGTAAATCACTAACTCTTTAAAAAAATCATATTTTACAAAATATTAGAAAACATTATAAAATATAATAGTCAATTGGAGGTATGATGAGAGCTATCATTTTGCAACAGATAACTTAAAAAAAAACTAATTTTTATAAACGGAATTATTACAAAATATAGATAATTAGAACTATTATTTTATAATCAGCAACTTACAAGAAACTATATTTTTTATAAATTATTAAAAAATATTTTGTAAATTTAAGACACCTAAACCTAAAATTATTGTAAAAAATCCCACAGGTGCAACATACAGAATGAGAATAGTTATTTCACCTAAAATTATTGTACTTAACTAATTATTAGAATAGGTTTTGTAGCATCAAATTAAGGACATTGACAAAATTAAAACTATTTTTAAACTATTTACCAATATAACACCAAATTAAAACTATTTTTAAACCTAATATTTGTATTGCCATGGAGAAAGAATGTTGCACTAAAATTACAAACGTAACTGGTAGTTTCAATGTAATAGAAAATATAATTGGTGTTAGTAAACTAATAACTAGAGGAATACACAAATATTTTTACTTTGTGAAGAATGTCAAATGAAATGGTGGCTTCAATAAAAATAAATAAATAATCAAATAGATTTTCTCTAAGACACGCAATTCATTTGGTGGTTTTAATACAAATATGAGATGTGACCACTGGTCAATGAAAAATACATAAAAAAATAATATTTTATTAAGAATCTACCAAATTAACTAATGGTTTCAATAAAAAAATAATTAATATCAAAATATTTTTTACCAAAACACGCATTATTTAGTGGTTTTGATGCAATTCATTTTCACTAATACTATTAATATATTGGTGTTTGCTACAAACATACATTATTGAACAAGGCATGATATATTCACGAGACTTTAGTCAGGGTGTTTCTGATGGATTGAATCGTGGAGCAAAAAATTTATTCCTCTTATCTATATGGTCTAGTCTTTCACGTAATATTGTATGATAATACTCCACTTACTTACATTCTCTTAATAGAGGACAACTATGCATGGCCGTTTAATTAAATTGGAATCCATGATTCAAAAATTTTAAAATATTGAATTTGAATCGGTTCTTGAATTCGGTTCCAATACGATTTTAGTTCTAGCATGATTCGATGAACCGACAGTTCCAATTATGGTTCCGGTGTTATGAGTATTAGTTATTCCAAAAAAGAAAAATTCAATTTATTTCTAGGATTATGTCTTTTTCTGAAAAAATTAATGTGAATTTGAAAAATATTAGTAAATTTTATTTTAAACAACTTTTAGAATGTTCATATGAATAAGAAATAAAATTCATTAATTATAGTATATAATAATAAAATATATAAAATAATAATATAAAAGAATATTAAACTCTTAAATAAACTCTAACTAATAGATAAACTAGGACTCCTGTTATCCTTAACCAACTACAAGTGATTTGTCCATCAATATAAATACTCTCAATAAAAACTATAAAAGGGGCTAATTCACAATTCTTTTACTTCCCAAAATTCTAAAAGTTTAACAATTGGTGCAGTGAGCATGAAAAACACCTTCAAACCCTAAAAATCACAACCTTTTCTTCTCGAATATCATGGCTAATGATTCTGTTGAACGTCTCAACACGGAAGGCCATGGCAACAACCATGACGAAGCAACTGGACAACCCATGCTGGTTCCTCCACAGACTATCGATCCTTAGGTAGCGACGGCCCTAGCCCCAGCTTATTCATAATGCACCACTGTGTTTAAGCGCCTCTTGATGACCCCTCGCCCAAACGGTGAATTAATGCCCCAAGATGGACCAACAAACCATTGCCCCGAGAGCACACAGTCAAAGGCGAACCTTAGTATGGTTCCCCCTTATAGTTAAGAGTTGAGTCACACAGTCGATTTTGGACAATGCCAATCTCAAAAGCGTTGTCAAGGAACTAGTCAGAGAATGCAGAGAGACGGGAGAGGTTGGGGACTATGCCTTCTGTAGGACTCACCTCTATCAGCTAATATTTTGGGTGCAGCCTTTCCCCCAAAGTTGAAAATCCCAAATTTTCAACCGTGT